AATAAATGAAAAAGAAAAAGAACAGCGAACAAAAGAAAAAAAAAGCAAAGAACTTTTCTTTTTTTTCTTTTTTTTTTTTTCTCTCTTGATATATTTAATGACGTTTTAAATGATATATTTAACATATAAATATCTCGAATTGATTGTCGCGAGAAAAATTCAATTTAGTCTTAGTAAAGGTTTTTTAATAAGAGAATCATCCTTATGGGATCCTCGTAATATCTTTTAAGGATTTTACAAGGATCGAGGAGATATATATATATATATATATATATATATATATATTATATAGGACATAAGCGAATGGTGCATGCCGTTATCTGGGTCGAGTCAGTCAGGGCTCTTGGCATAGGACCGTCGTATGTCCGGATCACTCGATTAAGTTGGGTCAAACGATATTACACTAAGTTGCGTTGGGGGATTACTCCATGCGTTAGCCGTGCAAGAGCGTACCCACTCTGATCAGTCAACGATGCCTAAAATTAGACGTTGATATAGGCGGACAGAATATCATCTTTGCCCACACGTTATATGTATACGTTATAGTGACGAATGCTCGATCGATTTACCATATTAAATACCTATCGGATTAACATTTAAATGTCGCGCCAATCTCAAAATCCTTCTTTTGATATTAACAATGAACATATTATTATCCTGTTAAACATTTATATTTATATGTACGTCTATGTATAATTTTACGATCATACATTATTTCAATCTTCAATGCAGATTTAATTAATCGTTAATTACATTTGTTATAAAATATTTCTCTATAATAAAAATGAAAAGGTTTATTATTACGTGAAGATTTCGTAATGTTTCGTTTATTGATACGAATCGCGTATATCGATTCATTTTCTAAACGAATGCGAACGAGTTAAATTGAAATATGAGGGGATTGAAAAGTGGGAAAAATTAAAGATGGCGTTATTGGTTATGATAAACGAGAGCCGAGTATCCTTTACGTGAAATCGACGTGACAGTGTACAATTAAGGGAGAGGTCTAATGAGAAGTGGAAATAGAAAATGTTCGTGTTCATTGAAACGTAGGAAAGAGGAATAAAGAGGAGAGGTATCACGGTAATGTTGCCTTCTTTCATAGAAATGTACGCGTATTTCCCTTGTCGCGAAGATGTCTTCTTTCATTTCTTTTCCTTTCTCTCTCTCTCTCTCTCTCTCTCTCTCTCTCTCTCTTTTTCTATTTCAATGGCGTGGCGTTGCTCAGTCGAAGAATATTTTACAGGAGTTTCGTAGTAGTAGTAGTACATAAAATCAACGGAATTTCAAGCTATAGATATATGAGACACAACGTACGAAATATTCTCTCCTTCTCGAGATTCCATTGAAAATTCACACCTGCTGCTACTCGGTCTTCTCCTCTCTGCTCCTCCAGCCCCCCCACCCCCCTCTCCCCGCTCATCTTACCTCGTAAATAGTAGTTTAAAGTTTCGTGTTTGTTCGACGTGTACGTTTAATAGATCGACAAGAGTTTCACGAGAATTTCTAAAGTCTAAATCGTGTAAGGTTATTTTTGGAAAAGAGTAACAGAATGAATCTTCGATTAAAGGAATGTGACGATGTCGATTCCATTAGCAGTTTACTCGTAATCTTTTCTTTTCGCGTTAGCCGAGCGAAAGTAATCGGATAATCCGAGGTTCGTTCGGAAGGGTCGATTAAAGCACGAATTATCTTCATCCCTTTTATCCTACCTCACGGTAAATATCAATTGAAGTATCCGACATTTGACACTTTTATCGAAGCATTAAGGAAGGACTATCGTTTAATCAGCTCGTTCGGCTACACATTAGCTATCACGAGGGGAAAGTTGAGAGGGAGAGACCATTTTGGACCTACCCTATTCGACCGAAGAAAAACGAACCCTCTTATACTGTCGTCATTCTTGGTCTTTATCGTTCGATTAGCCTGAACATAGATACCATAGTTTCGATACATGTTTCTTTAGGATCTGTTCGAGCATTAATCGTTAAATTAAAATGAGTTCAAATTTGAGTGGCTCAGTCCTTGCCCGAAGAAAGAACAGTTAGAAATATCGACTTGGACGACTCTCAGCTTTTTCAGCAGCATTTAAAACGTGAGAGAAAGAGAGAGAGAGAGAGAGAGAGAGAGAGAGAGAGAGAAAGACATGCATCATCCTCTCGTTGATACCCTTCTGGACATATAGATTCGGCTAAAGTCACGCGCACACGCTTGGATTCGTATCCAAGGTAGTAGTGGGAAGATGGAACCCACCCTTCCGTTAATGCATACACCCGTTCTAGAGGAAAAGGGTGGGTTGAGGGAGGGACACGTACACACGCAAAGACAGAGGGAGTAAAACTTGTAGAGACAGCGGTGGAAGAGGGACGAACACTGAGTAGACCGCCGAACGCACGTTGCGCGAGCAACGAAACCCCTCCTTTCAACCCTAGTTTCTTCTCTCTCTCTCTCTCTCTCTCTGTCTCTCTCTCTCTTTCCCCCGAGAGCACGCGTGAGATAG